AGCATTGCCTTTGATATTAACAGTTAGATATTTATAGATGGGTAACTATGACAAAATTTTTAAAACTTTTAATTAAAGGAAAAAACAATACATTAATCAAGATATTGTAACGCCTGTAATCTCAGCACTTTGACAGGCTGAGGCAGGTGCATCAGGAGGTATTCCTGAGGTCAAGTGAACTCCTGAGGTCAGGAGTTCGAGACCAGCCTGGCCAACATGGTGAAACCCCATATCTACTAAAAATACAAAAATTAGCCATGCGTGGTGGCACACACCTGTAGTCCCAGCTACTCTGCAGGGTGAGGCATGAGAATTGCTTGAGCCCAGGAGGTGGAGGTTGCAGTGAGCTGAGATTCCAGCCTGGGCAACAGAATGAGACTCCATCTCAGTGGGAAAAGAAAGATATTATAAATTCCCACACCAAGGACTCAGAAATTCTATTATAATGCCTCTCATTTGGGGCATTAGTTTGTAACCCTAAACAAATTATCCAATCCTTCTAAAAAGTACCTTCTCATGTTTATAAAATGAGGGCAACAATATTTGCCCTTCCTACCTCATAAGCATATTGTGGGATAAAATGAGACAATGACTATGAAAATACTTGGAAAATTCTTTATCATGATACAAATATAAAGTGTTACTTAACATTCACAGACTTAATGTGTTTTTAGCTCTCTGATATGGTATATCTTTTGTTAGCTAAGACATAACATTTAGTATATCTACTTTATTAGATGCTCTTCTGTGCATGGGAAATACTCGGTTTACCAGCAAAACAAAGAGCCATAGATAATTAGAACAGGGTGGTGTAGACACGCCACCATTCTCGCCCTCTGATTTGTTGCTAGTCTTAGCAGGTAACAGAGGTATAGCTGTGACCTGAGATGTTATAGAAACTTTAGCCATTGGTGGAGAAACAGACTTGATTGCATAGCAACAAGTGATCTGTGTTGTAAATGTCATCCCATCTTTATTCTGCTAAGGCACTCACAACTAAATTTAAAATGTACCATTTTCCTAGCAAATTCTCTTTGAAAATGCAGGGTGAAGAACACAAGTAAAATATTAAGCAGGAACAACTTAGGTCATCTGGAAAACGTTTCCAATATAAGTGATATTTGCTTTCAAGAAAGAGTAGGCTTATGTCACTTTCTTTCCAGCCAATTTTAAGACTTGAAGGTTATAAAATGGTCATTTCATTATGGTCATGGTGGTGGTGGTGGTGGCAATAATGACAGAACATTTCAGAATGATGTGCCCTAAAAAATAATTCTACCCACCAATGCAAAAGTTAGCACTGTGTCACCAGTCTAAGACATACACCTGTACACATTCAGCCACTGGTTTTAGGAGCCACCTATATTCTGGGTGGAGACCCTGTGCTTCTTGCGTTTAGCAGTTGTGCTAGTCAAAGTTCTCCAAGAGAAACTGAAACAATAGATTATATTATGTATTTTACGTATTACTTATTTTTCGTGTATTTTATATGTGAAATTATGTGTAATATATGAATATATATATTTCCACATTATGTGTATGTATGTATGTGTGTGTGTGTGTATATATATATATATATATATATATATATATAAGACTTAAGTCTGAAATCTGCAGGGCAGACCAGGAAGCTGAGAACTTAGGCAGGGTTTCTACATTGTAGTTTTGAGGCAGAATTGTTTCTTCTTAAAAAAAAAACCTGTGTTTGCTCTTAAAGTCTTCAACTGATTGGATGAGACCCACACACATTGTGGAGGGTAGTGTGCTGTCCTTAAAATCTACTAATATAAATGCTAATCATGTCTAAATGTCTTCATGGCAATATCTATACTGGTGTTTGACCAAACAACTGGGTACCATAACCTATCAAAGTTGATAAATACAATTAACCTCCACAGCAGACTTTGACCTTCTAAGTTCAGTCAGTGATTAAGGTTACCCAGAACCGATCCATACCATGTAGATAATCTGTTTATTTTCTGTGGAGATGATCAGTAACCAACAGCTCAGAATGGTGAGGTTCTTAGCTTCAATCCTAAGACATTATCTGTTTCATTCCAGAATATGAAATTCTATGCAGGACTTGGATGGATTCTTTCCAGATGAGGGCTGCCACATCCCTCCAGTTCTTCCAGACTTAAGGTTAGGGTTATAATCCTGTTTTGGTATTTGCTGGACTGAGGGACTGCATTTTATAGCAGATTCCCTGATTTCCCATGCAACTGCTGTAATAGCAGTATGGATCCTATGCAATTTCAGACCTCAGCCAGCAATGCAAACTGTTCAGTCTCCCTAGAATTTAAACGCAGACTAGAGTGCTAGGAAGTGCATGTGATCCTCTTACCGCACTTTTCCTTGGCTGAAACGCTTTCTGTAAATTTTTCACACGTCATTCCTTCTTGTCCACCTGCAGTACTTTTTGATATTTCTTTAGAAGTGGCAGCTGGATCAACTTCAACAACAACAACAATCCTGAAAGAAAGTATTAGGCATTCAGAGTGACTGTGGTGACACCATCCATCTATCCATCCAGCCTTCTATCTGGTGTCTTTTGGTGCTTACTTTGTGCCCAGGACAAGCTCAGGAGGATCACAAGAAATGTGTAGTTATGGTCCATGCACTCTGGAAAGGTAAAATCTAGTTAGAGGACGGGGAACTGATGCTTGTAGTGAAGCCTTACCAAAGAGAGGACATTTATCTGGCCAAATACTTGGAGTTTATTGTTTTATATGTTAGTAATCAGAGGAGCTTTTCTTATTTCCTGGAAGTTTTAGGCTACAGGCATGAATAATTAGATCTTATTGATTAGCATATTAGAAGATACTCATTCTTTGAGTTGTTAGACCCTCACTTAATCCCAGAAAGAAGAAGCCATTTGAAGGCAGAGTAAAGCAGGACTTCTTATTTAAAACAGAAGTTAATGGAATATTGACTGAAGTCTGTAAAATCATAAAGAAGATAAGTTATACAAAACCAAAATAACATAATAATTGAATTACTAAGTTCCAACTATTATATACATCCTAAAACACAGTGCTAGTTCATTCAAGTCCAATGTAATTCAATAAATTCAAATTCAGACTATCTTGGGGTAGACTTTTTTTTTTCTAATCTGCATATATTTTTAATGGCATGTTTGCTTAGGATTATTGGCCAAATATTTCTATTTTGTTGTGTCTTAATTGATTAAAAATCTGTTGAGAAAATTCTGATTGAAAACAGATCTCTCTTAAGCAATTTTTTTAACAAAGTATGAGTGTATGTTTTACATATTTGCTTTTACTAAGGAAAACAATCTTACTTAGAAAAATACAACTTGGGTGTAGTACCATGTGGTATAAACAACTGAACTATTTTACCTTTTACTTTCTTATGAATGAGCCAGTATATATTTATTACTGGAGTTCCAGCTATAAAATTTATGTAAGGGGTTTAAATATACCCTGGAGTATTATTTAAAAATAAATTTATTTCTTTCAAATAGAATACCAACCTTGGTCTATGACATTTGGGAGAGAAATTAAAATATTAAACTTTTATTGCCTAGTAAACTGAAAATAAAGTAAAGGTTAAATAAACACAAAGCATAAAATATATATATACAAAATCACAACCTCTAAAAGGACAAACAGTCCACTGTTCTCTACTGTGGGAGCTTTATCAGCACTGGTAAGTAATTCCACCTCCAGGGCAGGGCAAGTTCTCAAAAATGTAAACAAGTATGTACTTTGTTTATATAAAGAAATGTGCAGCATGGTTTGTATTTCTTTGTAGATATCAAACAGCTAAATGGATTGTTTCAGAGCACCAGCAGGGGCCAGCAAAGAGCTCTTAGAGTTTTTCAGAACAGAATTGGCATTGAAATATGTTTATTTGATGTGTTAAATCCTTTTTTGACTTCTTTACATAACTCCACACTCTCTTAAGTGAATGAATTGCAGAGACAGTGGAATAAAATATCCTGTGTATTCAAACTATCTTGGGGTATAGTTTTTTTTTTTCTAATCTGCATATATTTTTAATGAAGTGTTTGCTTAGGCTATTTCTTGGCAGAGTTTTAATAGTCAAAATATAAATGGCATCATTTAAAGACTGTTCTACTTGGCTGGAAAAGGCCTTAAAATTACAGAAGAAAATGCCTAGTGACAGCTTCTCTTAACTTTTTTTTCTTGAACCTATGCTTCATTTTTGCAATAGTATTACTAGGCTAATTTTGTAGTTCTGTCCTTTAGCTTTCACATTTTATATAACTAGCACTTTGGAAGCTAAAATGTCTATCTGTTTGATGTAGTGCTAAAGTTTTAATTCATCCCAAAGTTTTAGTATTTCCAAATTTACACAACCGTTTGAATTCACTGATTAAAAAAAAAAAATTAACAGTCTCTATAACTTGACTAAATTCCTAGTATGGTTACTATTTGGAAATTCAATCTTTGATTTGATGCTTAATTACATGGGGTTCTGTTCCTACCAACTTCCTGTAATTCTATACCTATGGGTAAAAATATTAGTGGTCAAATTCGGCTGGAGAAAGTATAGGCACTGCGATTCACATAGTTAAATGTTCATTTAGTAAAGCTAGGGTGAAAAAATACTGCTTCAACTTGAAATGTTAGAAGATTGTTGTTCTTGTGTTACTCATTCATGCAAATTGGAGAAGGTATAATTGAAACAAGGTTGGCTGTGTTTGAGTCAGTGTGCTGCAGCTGAGCTCAGCTTAAAGGTCGCTGGAAATCAAGTGCTTTGTAAGTGAAGGCATTTTGACTACAAGCGATTCAAGACATTTTGGAAACGTCAGTCTCAGGAATGGACCGTCTTTTTCTTTCTATGATATCTGGTATCTAATGTTTTACGTAGGATAAAGACTACTACTTAATAGCTCTTTTAGGCACCACAAATGATTTTTTTCTTTTGATGCAGTGCAGCTGCTTCTAGCCTGTCTACAGACAGAGATATTTGTTATGACTTTCAGCCTTTAACATGTTTGGAAATGAGAACAAATGGCACAGAGCTTACGATTGCACTTTGCAGCCAGAAGAAGCAATACTTACCCTTTGTCAGAAACCTCCGAAGATGACTTGGATAGCCATGTTCACATGTGCTTCAAAAGACCAACACGGATTTCAGCGTCTAACATTGTTCAAATGAAGCTGACTCCCAGACAGACTGCACTAGCTCCGTTAATAAAGGGAAACGTTCAGTCTCAAGAAAGATCATCCGTTCCTTCATCTGAAAATGTTAATAAAAAGAGCAGCTGTCTGCAGATTTCACTACAGCCCACAAGGTACAGTGGATGTCTTCAGTCTAGCAATGTCTTAGCTGATAGTGATGATGCTTCATTTACTTGTATCTTGAAGGATGGTGTTTACAGCAGTGTTGTGACTGATAATGAATTGAATGCTGTGAATGATAGTAACCTTTTAAGCAGTCCTGCCATTTGTAGTGGTAGCCTTAGTAACTTTTCAGCCAGTGATAATGGGTCTTACAGCAGCAATGGTAGTGATTTTGGGTCATGTACAAGTATCACAAGTGGAGGTTCATACACAAACAGTGTCATCAGTGACAGTAGTAGTTACACTTTTCCACCAAGTGATGATACATTTTTGGGTGGAAATTTATCTTCTGACAGCACCTCCAATAGAAGTGTGCCAAACAGGAATACTACTCCATGTGAAATTTTTTCAAGAAGTACGAGTACAGATCCTTTTGTCCAGGATGACTTGGAACATGGATTAGAGATTATGAAATTGCCAGTGAGCAGGAACACAAAAATTCCTCTAAAACGTTGCTCCTCCTTAGTCATTTTTCCTAGGAGTCCTTCAAATACCCCACCAACTTCTCCAACAAGTCCATGTACTCTTCTGAGCAAAGGATCCTATCAAACTTCACACCAGTTTATTATTTCTTCTAATGAAATTGCACATAATGAGGATGGCACTGGTGCTAAAGGATTTCTTTCAACAGCTGTCAATGGACTTCGGTTATCTAAAACAGTTTATACCCCCGGAGAAGGAAGAGACATACGGCCGCTTCACAGAAAGGGCTTATTACAAAAGAAAATTGTTATTTCGAATAATACTCCCAAACAGACTGCCTGTGAAAAGTCATCTGAAGGATATTCTTGTGTTTCAGTGCATTTCACCCAACAAAAAGCAACTACATTAGATTGTGGAACAACAAATGGCGATTGTAAACCAGAAATGTCAGAAATTAAGCTGAATTCTGATTCCGAGTATATTAAGCTCATGCATAAGACATCTGCATGTTTGCCATCCTCCCAAAACATTGATTATGAAATAAATATCAGTGGAGAATTGGAAAGACCAGATTCACAGATGAACAAAAGTCATGGTATTTTACAAAGAAGTATTTCATTGGGAGGAGCTTATCCAAATATTTCCTGCCTATCCAGCCTTAAGCACAATTGTTCTAAAGGGGGACCATCTCAGTTACTCATAAAGTTTGCATCTGGAAATGAAGGTAAAGTTGATAATTTATCAAGAGACAGCAACAGAGATTGCACAAATGAACTGTCTAATTCTTGTAAGGTAAGTTTCCTTTGGTCTTGGTAAATGTTAATTTATATGAGAATAACTTAATGAAATATTTGGATAAAATTTATTACAACTAAGCAGTTTTATATATTTTCCCAGTCCTTAGTTAGCATATACTTTGTAGTCATTAATTTTATATTTGTAAATCTGAAGAACCCTATGTGTAGTTTTTTACTCTGTTATTTTACCAATGTACAAAATGTGTATTTTAAAAAATCTTCCTAAGTGATTTAAGCTGTAAAACTTTTCTGTAACATAAAACCAAACTCTGAGTAACAATCTATTTTACAACATTTTATCTTGGCATATTTTTTCTTTAAATGGTGTAGTATTCTATTGTGTAGCTCAGTATTTTATTCCTATTTTCAAAATGATCATTTTGTTTTCTCCCCTTCTTGATCATTATGAAAGAGTAAAATTTAGAATGCTTATTTAAAATATTAAACAAAAACCCATATTAAAGTATGAAGATCTTGTTTTAAATGGTCATAGAGGAACTATATCTCTAAACTACATGTATTTCTAAGATCATTCATAAAAACTATTATGCTGCATGTTTAAAGCAGAGGAAAAATAAATGGCATTTGCGTTTGTATATACCCTTAGCCACAGGAATTCTGTTTCCACCCTATTTTTTCTTTAGCCACGAGTTAATACTGCCTTCTAAAATGTAACTCACTCTTTCAACAATATTGAATTCTAAGTTTTAATCTTTTTGAGCTTTGTTTAAATTGCTAGGCATTTCCCATAATTTTCCATTTACCTTTTTATTTGTTTTTTTTTGACAATTCAGCTTTATTTTATTAATAATTTAACTCATGAATCTTTGCCAAGAGTTCTTTATGTAATTTGGCCTTTTCAAAGTATTTAAAATGGTTTGAACTGAAATAGATTTTTTACATTTCTGTGTTTGGAATGTTTTACCAGATTCCAGGAAATTTAAAAATTTTTCTAACTAAAGTGATTCTACATGACAGTACATAATAGTTTGGCGGGGCGGTGGCGGGGGGGAACCATATCTGTTTATCTGTGTTTTTGTAACAATATGTATATTAAACATTTTTTTAAAAAAAACTTCTGGATAGATAGATTTAGGTGAATAATACGGTAACTGCTAGTTTATTTTCTCTCTTCTGAAATCTGGTAAATACAGTAATTGTTACCAATGCCCAGATGTTAATGTAAGCCACTACTTTACTGAGGATAAAAAAATATCAGATTTCAAATTCTGATCTATATTTTAGAATTTTAAATTCCATTTAGGACACTTTTCTAAAACCAGCTTTTAGAAGATTGTAATCCATTCAACTGCTTTCCCTCCTAAAAGAAAAAAGAAGTGGCACCGAGAAGAAATATATTAATAGTTTGCTAATCGAATTAATGCTACTTATAAATCTATTTTACACTTAATCAAATAATCTGAAAGGAATAATTCATGTCAAAATATTTACAGAAATATCTTGAAATAGTTTATTTTGTAGTAATAATTATAGTTTGTTGTGGATGCTTTTGAAAAGAGTATTTTAAATGTGTTTTTTAATGAAATGTGGATCAAATGCCTTTTGCATTGTTAAAAACATATTTTTATTGATTTTAGTTATACTTAGGTAAGCTAATTTAAATATTTTTTGTGACAATAAAATGTATAACTTTGTGCAGATTCTATCTTTTGGTAGACTATTGGATTATAAAATAGTTCAGAAGTGTGCAGTTTGCTGAAGCTTTAAATTGTCCCCTCTTTTAATATTTATTATATGTCTCTTTATAAAAGCATTGTAAACAATATAGTGTCAGTTAAATTTATTTTTTGCTAGATCTAAATAGATCTAATTGATAAATTAAGGGCTTATTTTATGAAGAAGATTCTAGTGTTGCTTTTTCTAAATATAGCAGTGGCAACAATAATGGGTTTTAGAAATAATCCTGTGTTTATCAATAATTATATATTAATCTAATTATAGTGGTATATTGTAACTCATTTATAAATAAACAGCTCCCAAAATATTTCCCATGACTCCAGTTAGTCTGGGTTAGTATTCTAATATGCTGAGTCTGGATTCACATTTAACAAGTTGATATTAGAGTAGCATTTAGTAATGTCAGCTATCTGTACTGAGCAGCCGTGAAATTAAATCACTGCTTTGGTCAGAGACCCTGGTTTCAAAATCACTGAGAGTCTACAAATTCTTTTCTTATATGTTTAGCTCCCAGTCTCTAGCAGTATAAAATTGAGTTTCTAGCTTTCTATAATCAACAGCTCATTAATGACTAATTTTTTAAATCTAGTGAGAACTTTACCTGTATCTGAGACACTGGCTGCATTCTGTGTTTACAGCTTAGAGTGAAGATGAGACTTTGTAGTCTGTCTGCATAATAATGTTTATTTCAGGCATAGCAAACAGGGTTAACAGTAACTGGCATATGTTTATTATATATGCTTTTTGAAATACAGTATTACTTTTGTAAAGACTATATAATGACTTTTGATCTGAAAATAAATATTTAATATTTTAACAGTATGTGTAATAGTTTGTCAGTTCAATCAAGAAGCAGGTTAAGGAGCTAAGGTACCTCGTATACAGTTATAAAAATTATTGCTCTTCAGATTTCTAAATCTGTAGTTAGTTTTCTCTACTGTTATTTTATTTTTCCCCATCTGTTGGGTTCTGAATCTCCTGTGTTATGTTGTCAGGATGCTCAGAGATTTCAGTACCCTCTTTTTAATGTGCATTAGAGTTTTGCCCAAGTGTAAATGTCCTCCATTCTTTGCTTATATGCATATTTTTATGAGAAATATTTTTACGTTTTTTTCTTTTTGTTATAAAAGTTTTTGTTTATTACCTGCAACTTAATTCTAAATAGGTAAATTGCTTACACCTAGTATAGTAGAACCATAATAAACTTATGTCTCAATTATTTCAAAGCCTTTAACATTAATCTCAAGATTATACATTTCAATATTTTCTTATTTAATTGTTCTTTCTAAAATAGGTGTTTTAAATGTATGCTTATTTTAATGCTCCATTATTTTCCAATCCCCATTTTACTAAGTTTAGCAGAATATTTGGAGAGATGTTGTTAAATTTATTTTGAGCAGCACTTACAAAAAACAGCGTAATTTATAAATATTCTAAAATGTGATGGAACAATGTTAATGACAGTTTTAGAAAGTTGGTGAAAAATGTATATTTGTACATGTATGTTTCTTAGAATGGAGGAATTGTTCATTTCAGAGAGGTTCAGAATGCTGAAATGTTTGCCTGAAAATATTTTGTATTCTCTGTAGATGTGCCTTGTTTAATTAATTCATCCAATACACATTTGAGTGCCAGGCACTGTCCCAAGCACTGAGAATAAAAGATGAGTAAAATACAGTCTCTATTTAGGGGAGCTCCCATTCTAGTAATAGGGACATGCTGGTAAACATAAAAATTTTCAGTCTAATATGTGATGTACTAAATAGAGTTGTATTTGAGAAAGTAGAAAGATGTGACATTGTTTTCTGGAGAGAGAACCTGGTTGGCAGAGGAAGGTTTCCTAGAGGAGGTGACTTTTGAACTGAGTCTTGATAGGTGAGCTGGAGTTCATCAGCAGAGAAATCAAAGAGATTCTAGGGCAGGGATTCGCCATCTCAGCATTATTATTTTGGACTGGACACTTTCGTAGTGGGGGCTATCCTGTGCACTACAGGATATTTAACAGCATCCTGGCCTCCATCCACTAAATGCTGGTAACACTCCTTTCTCCCAGTGTGACAGTCAAAAAGTGTCTCCAGACATTGCCACATGTCCTCTAGGGACAAAATTGTCCCCTGTTGAGAATCACTGCTATAGGCAGCAGCAGCATGTGCTAGGCTAGAGATTTGAAAGATTCTGACACTATAAATAGTCCAGTGGGGCTCAAGCATAGGGTGACCTGGGGATGCCGGAGGAGGTGATCTGCCAGAAGTGGGCTAGAGTCCCATTAGGCCTGGCGCTTCATGCTGAAGACAAGGAAGCTGGTCTTCTGCTGATAGTAGTGGGGCAAGGGAAGTCTTCCTTTGAGAGTGTGAAGTGCTCTCTTTCAGGTTTTTAGAAGATAATTTTTCATGGTGTCATGGATTATGAATGAATTAACGTTTTCCTAACTTGGATGACTTGGTTAACAGTGATGTCATGAACTAAGATGGAGAATTCAGGAGAGGGGCTAGACTGGGAGGGTGAAGAAGAAATCACATAATAAGTTTATGTCCCTCAGAGGCTGCCCTAGTAGTGCTGCTTTCAAGTAGGGCAGTTGGAGATACAGGACCAAGGCTTAGGAGAGAAGTGAGAGTTGGAAATGTTGATTGTGAGTTAGGCATATGGTCAAAGCCTCAGATAAGAATGAACACATACAGATTGAAGCGTCAGATAAGGAAAACATACAGTGAGATGGGAAGGGAGGATAAATTATAATTCTGGGGACCACCAACTTTGGTGAGGTGGAAGAAGAAGGGATAAAGAGGAGACTAAGGAAGAGCCACTACAGAGGCCAAGAGAGCATGGAAGCATGGAGACATGGAGGCATGGGTGAAGCACAAGGAAAGGAGGACAGCCTACATACGTATCCACTGGATGTGGCAGACAGGAGGTCCGTTAGCATGAGTAGGCTCAGGAGAGTGCAGGGTTGAAAGCTAGATTGAAGAAAGAACGAAACAGGTAAGGAAGCAGAAACAGCCAGCCTAGGTTGCTTGCTCGGTGTTACAAAATAAGCACGAGATAGCATAGGCAAGGAATATTTAGTGATTGTTATGCAGAAGGCACATGTGAACTGGATATAAGACATATAAGACAAACTCCCTCTCTACAGGGAGAGTACAGTCTCTTTTTCCTGGAGGAAAAAAAAAAAACAAACATTACAGTCTTTTGTTCTTTCACCTTGGAACTATAGAATAAGTGAGTATTGTCAGTAAAAACTGAAATGGAGATTCAGCAAAATCAAATGAAGGAAACAGAAAATTACAAGTGAATACCTGA